ATATTGCCCCTCCTTCTCCACCAGAGCATCTGGTGGATTCAAAATGTGCACCTTTGGGATTACTACTCTTCATATTTTATATTCCCATTTTACAGACATGGAAACTGAGGCTCAGGAAGGGTAAGTGGCTTATCCAAGGTTACACAGTCAGAAGGTGCGGGAACTCCAAATCTGTCAGACACTAATGCTTCAGCTTTAATGCTTACCTCCAGTCTTGTCTTGTCCAGAGCCATCTAGCAGGACTAGGGAGTGGGGACCAGGGCAGGAAGAAGGGCAGGAGTTGCTCTGGAAAGGCTTGGACCTTTTCTTTGATTCAGGGTGCACAGCTTTGGTGGTGGTTAATGGGATCAAGTGGGTATCAGGGATCAGGCCCCCCTTAAATGGAATGTTGAGAGATCATCTTGCCCATTCCCCTTCCGCTAGTCCCCGGTCACTACCTCACCTGCCACAACTCTGGGACAGCTCTCCTGGGAAAGGACATAGCTTGATGTTTAGGTTCCACTTGAAAAGTCAAGGAGTTGAGTTTTTATTTCAAACAGACCCTGGGCAGGACATGTAAATATTATTTCCATTTAAAACACGTTCTGGCATGGTTTTGGCATATGATGGGCACAGAGCCCTGGGACCCAGCCTTGTCGGTACCTTGCTGTCATTGGCACAGCAAGGCAAGAACACAGGCCTGGCATCCTCTTCACTAATTGCACAATGAGAAAAGAAGTCAGCCAGCGAGCTTTGAAGAACTTGGACTGCAGGCTGAGTTCTACTACACGATACTTGTCTTTTTCTGTTAGGTTTCAAAGTTCTGAAGGAGAGTCTGTGGTTCTTGGGGAAGCAGGGCTGAAAAATTGGTGTAATGTTAGGGACTTAAGGTGTGGCCGGCGACTCTCCAACCTCTCTCTCCTGACAGGTGCTGGCTGGAACTTTCAGTTCCTGCACATACCTGACCTCCTGGGAGAAATTTGCAAACCAATTTGTTGCTATGTACCATGGAGTCAGAACTGACTCACAGTGTCCCTCCCATGGGTTTTCAGAAAGAGTAAATAGCGCAGTAGGAGAATGCCCATCTGTCTCCCTAGGAGCAGAGAGGAGATTCGAACGGCCTGACTTTGGATTGGCAGCTCAACTCCTTACCATTAACCTTACCGTTACATCGGCAAGTTATTTACTGTGTTCTGGAGTTCATAACAGCCGGCTCTGGTGGAGCTGTGCTCCTAACCCAAGGGCAGCAGTTCTGTAGCAGTTCAAATCCGCCAGCTGCTCCTGGGAGAAAGATGGCGATTTCCTCCCGTGAGATTTCTTTATAGCCTCCTGAAAACCCGATACAAAGTCAGCTATGAGTTAGTTCCAACTAGATATTAATGAGTTGGGGTTTTTGTTGTGTGGGTTTTGGGGGGTTTTGCAAAGTTCATGATAATTTTTGGCTTGTCAGAACTTCTTCAGGTTAAGCAAAAAAAAAAAACCAAACCCTGCTATTTTTCTTGGTTTTTTATGACATGTCTCTTTCTACAAAAGATTTGAGGTCATTTACAAAAACAAATGCATGTATAAGAAAGGGAAAACAGAGTACAGAACATGAATATGAACATTCTAAGGACCTGCCTAGGAGACAGTTGCGTTTCTTGGGTAGTTTTTTTATGTATGTATGTATGTATTAATTATTTTGTTTGTATGTGTACCGGCAAATCAAATCTGACTGGTACAGGAGGAGATTGTTCCTCCTTCTCCAGTAGAGCATCTGGTGGATTTGAACCACTCATCTCTGGGATTGCAGTGCAGCTTCTTGCCACTAGGCCACCAGATCTCTCCTGGGTAGTTCTGAGCTTCTAGGAAGCCAAGAAAGAAAGAGAAATAGAACCAGTTATGTTCTTGTCATCAGGACTGAGAAACCTCACACATGGAACTCTTTGTCATGTGCACCCCATGAAGGCGGGGACTGTGGCTGCCTTGAGGACAGCTCTGTGCCCACAACCTGACGCACGGTGCTCCAGTCACATCTGTCACATGGATGAGAGGAAGCAGGGAGTCCCTATCACTTCGTTCCAAGAGAAGTTTCTCACACGGGCCTATGAAAGGGGGTCTTAGGGTGATGATGGATCCTGTGCCTCATTAATATACTTAAAACAAATGCAATGGCAGCACTGATGATATATTTTCTCCAGTGTGTATAAGCCAAAGATAGAGTGTGATTGTTCTATATATATAACGCCAAGCTTGGTTTAAATCAAAGCTCTTCCATTTCTGACTGCATGATGCTGTGCAAACTGCTTAACCTCTCTCAACCACAGGACCACCTGGATTGGCTAAATATGCGACCAGTTTTTGCTTCATACCCTATTTGCAAGTAGGTGAGGATGATAACACAAACAAATGCCAAAGAAAATTATTTGTGTTGATCGCATATGTATATGGTGGTATTATTAGCTTAGCTGAGTGTCTTATTTACTTTTTAATTTTTTTAAAATATAGAGTGATATAGAATAGAAATCAAAATAAAAAAGACTCCAAGTCTCCTGTTTAGAAACCCCACTGAGATGTTAAATAAATAATTTAGTTATAAAGTTAAAATAGTTAAACTGTAATTGTTGTTAAGTGGCATTGGGTTGGCTCCATATAATAGAATGAAGTGTTTGTCTTATACTGTCCTCAACCAATTCTGTATGTTTTCAAGCACATTGTTTTCAATGTCAGTAGTCTTATTGAAGGTCTTCTTCTATTTTGCTGACTCATTGCTTTTCCAAGGACTGGTCCCCTTCGACAACAGGAAATATGTGAAACGAAGCCCTGACCAGTTTCACTTTTCTTCTTAAGTCTTTCCTATCCATTATTCAAGTTTCACACTCATGTGAAGCAATTGAACATCACATAGCTTGAACCAGAGATACTCAAAAGAGTAGAGGTAGAGAACGAGTAGAAGAATGCTCCACCCTCTTGCCCTGATGTGAGGTCTTGGTCTGGGTCCTTCCACCTGGCACTGGCTGGCTCCACACGGGTGGCCCAGGGCTGGGAGGCCCTGCCATGCCTGGAAGAGTTTTATAGGTGCTGCTGCAGCCTGAAGGCAGCCCTGGCCGGTGATAGCGGGAAAGGGAGGGCGCTGGTAGGGCGGCTGGCTTTTTTATGGGCTGTGCGCAGGCAGCCTTCATGGCCCTGTGTGCCCCTGCCTCACCCCTACAGGCTTCCAGGATGTGCACGTCATGGTCTTCGTGGGCTTCGGCTTCCTCATGGCCTTCCTGCAGCGCTATGGCTTCAGCAGCGTGGGCTTCACCTTCCTCCTGGCCGCCTTCACCCTGCAGTGGTCCACTCTCGTCCAGGGCTTCCTCCACTCCTTTCATGGAGGCCAAATCCATGTTGGTGTGGAGAGGTGGGTAGGCAGGTGCACCTAGGAGCCCCCTGTCCAAGGGACTTAGCTTAAGTCCTGTCCTTCAAGTCTGTTCCCTAAACCATTTAACTCTCCAGAAATGTCTCTGAAGTGCCTGCCCACTCTTTGCTTCATTTCTTCACCATTCTTGACCCAACCCATCTGTAGGGTCCCATCATCCAAGGATTGTGAGAAGATAGATGTCTTAGTGGAAAAGGGTAGAGTTTAGAGGAGCTCTTGGCTCAAGTTCTGGTGCTTCCACCAATGTGGACCATGTTGACCAAATCACAGAGCCTGCCCCTTCCCCTCTTGTGCTGAAAGAGTGAGGCTGCGGCCCCTTCCTGCCCCCTGAGAGGACATGTGGTAGTGGCCCAACCAGGCAAGACTGCTGTGTGGAGTGGCTGGTGTCTGTGGGAATGACTCACGGAACGAGTTTGGTTTTGGTTCACATGTGAGCTCGCTGCCCACCTCCCCCGCAGCACTGCCCTGTTTCAGGCCTGGCAGAGCTGCTCCCTGTCCCTTCTCCTCCTCCAGCATGATCAACGCTGACTTCTGCACCGGGGCCGTGCTCATCTCCTTCGGCGCGGTCCTAGGCAAGACGGGGCCTGCCCAGCTGCTGCTCATGGCTCTGCTAGAGGCGGTGCTGTTTGGCGTCAACGAGTTTGTGCTCCTCAGTCTTCTGGGGGTGAGAGCCTGGATGGGGTGTGGGGTGAGGGCGTGGGGGGCAGCCAGGGACAGCTCAAGTTGGGCGGGTGTGGGGGTGCTGTCCCTCCACCTCAGCGCCACCTCCTCAGGTGAGGGACGCAGGAGGCTCCATGACTATCCACACCTTCGGTGCCTACTTCGGGCTGGTCCTCTCCCGAGTGCTGTACCGGCCCCGGCTGGAGAAGAGCAAGCAGCGCCAGAGCTCCGTCTACCACTCCGACCTCTTCGCCATGATTGGTGAGGGTCGGTGAGGGGGGGTGAGAGCGCGTCTGTGTGTCTCTGTGTGTGTGTGCCTGTTTGTGTGTTGTGTGTATGCCTGTGTGTGGTGTGTGTGTGTGTGTGTGTGTGTGTGTGTGTGTGTGGTGTACATGTCTGTGTCTATGTGAATGTGTGTGTGTCTGTGTGTTGTGTTTATGTGTATGGTGTATATGTCTGTGTGTGTATGTCTGTGTCTGGGTGTATGTCTGTGTGTGTGATGTATACGTCTCTGTGTATGGTGTGTATGTGTCTGTGTGTGTGTGTGTCCATGTGTGTGTTGGGGGAAATAGCCCAGGGAGGACTATCTCTAGGCTGTATCTTGGGGCACCACCCACTGCCCTTGGGGTGAAATCCTGCGTTCTTGCTCGAGAATTCTGCCCTTCCTTCTCGGCTTCTGTAGCAAGAGCCCTGGACTGCGTGCTCCCCATTCTCATTAGCTTTGTGACCAGTTTTAGAATTCAGCCCTGGGGCATGCATGTCCCTGGAGACCCATTTAAGGGGTCTTCCTAAATCTAAAGCTGGACCACATCAATCTCTGCTTAAAACCGTCCAGTGCCCTGTAGCCCACTAGCTGGAAACAGCTCCTCTGTCTGCTTGTCTGTCTGTGAGCTCCCACCACACTCTAGACCTTTCCATTTCTACATCCCATGGCCCCTGAGCCGCTCCTGAGGGACACTGCTTCCTACCGCTGACCAGTCCCCCGAAGCTCCACATTCTCATGTGAGTGCTGGGGCCGAGGGTGCTCTTGGGTCACCCCTGAGAGAAGAGTCTGGTAGGGGCACTGTCCACACTCCCTTTTCCTTCTTGGCATTTCTCTCCACTAAATTTAGCTTCTGGTCCTCTCTGCCTTCACAAACAGGTGTCAGGAAATGAAATTGAGATTGCATCTTTTCGTAGATGTACTGAACCGTGGTTGAAGTGCCTGTGTTTATATCCCAAACATTTCCTGCCCACCTCCCAGGGTGGTTGTGAAATAGAGCACAAGGAACCCTATGTTGGCTAAGGCCTTCTTGCACTTTGAGACCCAGATAAGGTTGCTTAAAGTCCAAAGGCTTCGCCGAGATCCCCCTGCATGCCTAGAGGCTTTCTCTGCACCCTGCTCTGGTTCTGAGGTGTGTGTGTGTGTGTGTGTGTGTGTGTGTGTGTGTGTGTGTGTGTGCCCATGCACCAGACAGGACCTCAGTGCTTCCTTGGTTCCCTTAACATCCCCCTGAGGGAAAGCATCTGTGGGTGTGGTAGATTTTACTGAGGACTGTGGGGCCGCAGGGAAGTCACCTGGCAGGCCCTTCAAAACTGTAGCAGAGCGCTTGCTTCAGCAGCACATATACTACAATTGGAATGATACAGAGAAGATTAGCATGGCCCCTGCGCAAGGATGACACGCGAATCCCTGAAGTGTTCTATATATATATCTATAAAGCAGCAGACCTCAGGCCCTACCTCACAGGGTTCCAGCCTTCTCTCTCTTCTGTGCCTTTCCCCCCTCACTTTCTTCCCAGCAGAACTGCCCTGGGAACCTCACATGGGCAGGCAGGATGTCTGAGGACCCACCTCTTCCCCAAAACGGCTCAGGCACAGACAGCCCTGTCCAGTACTCAGCAGACGGGCCTTGGACACACAGCAGAACCCACCCTCCCTAGGAGACAGTTGAAGTTATTATAAAACAAAATTTTCATAAAGTACCCACTAGGACTGACAGGAAGTGGTGTTTTCCTTCCGCCCCCCCTTTTTTCTTTCTTTCCCCTCTCTCTTTTCTGATAGTTAGGGAGCTCTGGTGATCTAGTGGTAAGGAGTTGAACTGCTAATCCAGTGCTGTTTTGAACAGGCTGATCAAATCCATCAGCTTGTCTGCGGGAGAAAGGTGAGCGATCCCCTCCCCTGTGATTTACAGCCCCTGAAAATCTGCTGGAGGGTCAGCTAGGAGCTGGTTCTGACTTGATGGCAATGAGTTTTTTGTTTTTTTTTAATTTCTGATGGTTAAGAACAAAACCAAGATACGTCACCCTTCTATGTCTTCATTTAGATAGCGTCCCTGTGTACCACTGCCCATCCATAGAAGCCATTTGTTGAGCACTTAGTACCAGGAGCTCTGGAAGGGGCCCTGGTGGTGCAGTGGTTAAAGAATTTGGCTGCTCTAATAACACAGTCCACGATGTTCTAAATCCTGCTTTGGTGAGTAGTGATTGGGGTTTCTACAGCTTGTGAGAACCAACATCAGGTGAAAACTGTTTGGAACAAAGAGAAGGGAAGAAAAGCAAAGAATCTATTAGTCCCAGGGACCAAAGGACCATGTGACCATCAGCTTCCATGACCCTAAGACCAGAACTAGGTGGTGCCCAGTGACCACGGCTGACTGCTCTGGTCACAGTCGGAAGTCCTGGATAGAATGGAGGAGGGGGAATACCGAACAAAACTAGAGAACAGTATTTTTTTTTACATGCACGGTTGGTGTTTTATTTTTCAAAGAGGAGTTCTAAAACATCACACTAAATCAGATCAAAAGGTAAAGTTTAAAATAGACTGTTTTATAAGGATAAATGATAACATATGTAATGGCTGTTTGTTCACTCTGCAAAATCTTGATCTTAGTGTGTACGATACAACTAGTTGGCAATAGCACCCAGGTTTTCCAAATTAGCTTGTCTTCATTTTTCTCTTAGCTGCCTTCTGCTTTTGTTGCATGATCTCAGAATCCCTCTGCTTTCTCTGAGAGGCAGTCAAACTGTCCTCTTTTCTTTTTCCCTTGTTAATCTCCTGGGTTTTCTTCATGTTTTTCTGGCGGGCAAGTTCTCTCTGATTTCCCCGGGCCATCCCGACCACCGAACCGAGGCTGGAAGAGAGGGACTAGGAAAATCAACGGTTCCCTGGCTGAGAACAGGATTTTAAAAGGTCAGGCTTACTGGTCTGGTAGAGCCTGGTGGAACCCCTAAGACTTTGGCCCTTAGTCACCTTTCAAACCCGGGACAGAACTTACCACCATGGTTCAACTTTCAGTCAAATAGACAAGCCTCTGAGGTGACACAAAGGAGATACTCACTTCTGGGAATTCTGTCGTTATAAAACCACCCATATGAGTTCAAAAGGGCAGGACTTGCCCAAGGATAAGACCTGGAAGGCAGGAAGGGGTGAGATAGAAGAAAAATGGAAATAAGAATCATAGTGAGGAAGTGGGAAGATTATGGCTACATTGTAAGTATTGTAATAAATATTTAAATAAAACATGTAGAATGTTTGAATGGAAAATCAGCTTGCTTTATAAACTTTTACTCAAATAATAATAATAATAATTATTATTATTATTTGGCTTCAAATAAAAAAGTCAGTGGTTTGAAACCATCAGCCGCTCTGTGGGGAAAAGATACGGCAGTCTGCCTTTGCAAAGATTTACAGCCTTGGAAACCCTATGGGTAGTTCTATGCCATCTTCTAAGGCATTTTTAAGTTGGAAAGAATCAAATAAACTGCAGTGGTTTTGGTTTTGGTTGGGAAATACCTGCACACTTTCCATGCATCATTTCATCTCACACACACACACACACACACACACACACACACACACTGGAGTAAGTGTGATGTCTCACCTTTACAGTTGAGGAAAGAGGCTGCTGAAAGAGAACAGGTGCCGTGCCTATTACACAACTTGTATGTCTTAATGGAGCCACTTACCTCCTCTCACTCTGCCTGTGTACCCACCACTCAGGGACCATCTTCCTGTGGCTCTTCTGGCCTAGCTTCAACTCTGCGCCCACGACGCTGGGCGATGGGCAACATCGGACAGCCCTCAACACCTACTACTCCCTGACAGCCAGCACCCTCAGCACCTTCGCCCTGTCAGCCCTCATCGGAGGGGATGGACGGCTGGACATGGTATGGGGAGGAGGCAGTGAGAGAGGCAGAAAAATGGTCTGGGATGGGGAAGAGAGGTCTGTAACCCTGCAAGGAATATTCTCCAGGGAACAGACAAGGGCAGGGTGTGGGTAAGCTCTCCGGCTTACTGCCTGATGGCAGAGGGGCAGCATGAGAGGGCAGATGAAATTGTTGGAGAATAGAGAATGTGGTGAGCAGACAAAAAGGGTTTCTGCAGGCAACGGGTCCACAGAGGTGGGTTGGGTTGGTCTGCATGTGGGGACAGTCTGAAGAGACCTCCAGTATCTCACTCTGCCCTATCCCCTCAGGTCCACGTCCAGAATGCAGCTCTGGCTGGAGGAGTCATCGTGGGAACGTCGAGTGAAATGATGCTGACACCCTTTGGGGCTCTGGCAGCTGGCTTCCTGGCAGGGACTGTCTCCACGCTGGGGTACAAGTTCTTCACGGTATCAGAAGAACAGGGGGTCTTCAGCACCTTGCCATCCCCCTCTCCAGCAGGCCGAGGTTGAGGGTGGGATGAGGGCACCTAAGGCTGACTGGTGTCTCATTCTCCAGCCCATCCTTGAGTCAAAATTCAAAATCCAAGACACTTGTGGTGTCCACAACCTTCATGGAATGCCTGGGATCCTGGGGGCCCTCCTGGGGGTCGTTGTGGCTGGACTGGCCACTCAGGAAGTTTATGGAGATGGGTGAGTTTCCCTGCCCCACCCCCTGTCATCATTACCCTCTAGAATGACCCTCCCTCATTTATAGACCAAGGAAAGCAGAAAGCATTGTCTATTTTTAGTCATTTACTTATCCATATTTTGGGAGCTGAGGAAATTGAACCAGATCAGCCCTGGGCCTGTCCTCTTGTCCTCAGTCACATGGAGCGAAGGCCATGAGAAAATGATGGCAATGGTATTGAGGGTTATTAAAGAGTCAAAAAGAGACCAGGACCCTGAAGATCTAACGCTGCACATCAAAGCTCAGAGAAGAGCCTGGGCAAGAGGGAAACCCAAACTGAACCTCTAGAGGCGTGTGGGTGCCTGCTGGCTGGACGCCTGGCTTGAGCAGAGGCCTAGAGAGGAGACTCAGCTGGCAGGCTCCCTACAGGTCTTTCTGGCCTCCGTCCGTTCACTGACGTGTATCCCAGCGCCAGTGCACGGACCCATCCAGCCCCATGTCCCCCACCTCCCTGCTCAGGCCCTTGCTGACCCCCATAACCTCGTGTGCCGTAGGCTGGAGAGCGTGTTCCCACTCATTGCAGAGGGCCAGCGCAGTGCCACATCCCAGGCCATGTACCAGCTCTTTGGTCTGTTTGTCACGCTGACAATTGCCACTGTGGGCGCAGCACTTGGAGGTGAGTCACCTTGGCTGGGGAAGGAGGCTAACTGGACCTCCGAGGAGGGAAGAAGTCAGAGGAGGGGTTCTCTGGGGCAAGAGTCTTTGGGGACCCTCCCCCTGGCATTTATTCATTTATTTGTAGACACTGATGAAATTCTTGCTTATGTCAGGTTCAGGGAGAAAGCTGAGAGAAAAGGGTGGGTGAGTGGGAAATGATGTTTATCTCTTCCAGCTGCAAAGTGAAGCTGGGAGCTGGCCAGGGCTTTAATTATGTCTCCTCACGATCTAAGGAGCCCTGGTGCCACAATGGTTTAAATGCTTGGGTGCTAACTGAAAAGTCATCTGTTTGAACCCACTAGGGGCTCCATGGAGAAGGATGTGGCAGTTTGCTTGCAAAAATTACCAACCAAACCCACTGTCATTGAATTTACTCCGACTCAGGTGACCCTCTGCTGGGCTTCTGAGGCTGTCAGTCTTAGTGGAAGCCTCATCTTTCTCCCAGCGAAGAGGCTGGTGGATCCAAACCTTTGACCTTTTGGGTAGCTCAATACATGACCAATATGGCACCAGGGCTCCTGTTCCGTATAAAGAGTTGTTGTTGTTGTTGATTGACTTCAAGTTGAGCACAACTCATAGCGACCATATGAACAAAAGGCCTGAAGCCCCTTTACAACTATCGACACTTATCAGAGTTAATAGAGTTTCCGGAGGCAAGTTGTTTAGGAAGTGGATGCAGCATTGAAAAATCTATAGGGCAGTTCTGCTCTGTCCTGGAGAGTGGATATGAGTCCAAATTAGTCAGCACAGCTGTGTGGCATCGGCTGCGGCTCCCCTGTATTTTCCTCTCTGTCCACTAGAGGGAAGCACAGCATCAGTCTGAGGCCTAGAAAGGAGCCAAAGCTGTTTGGGGCAGCGAAGAAAGGGACCTGTGGTGTGTCTATCCTCAGACCTATACACAAAAACCTTCTACAGAGGCAGACTACCCACAGGCCCTGGGACAGGCAGTTCTTTCTGGTGTCTGGCCCTAGTCCTTTTGGACTATATAAAACTTATAGTTCAGTATCCAGACATCCCTGTTCCCACCTCAAAATCTTCATACTGTAATACGTTTCAGTTCAGTTTGTTTATTCATTTAATCACGTATGTATTCAGTAAACATGTCCTGTACCACTCCTGTGGAGGAGGCTGCAGAAAGCTCAGCATCTGGGTTTTTGTGTGAGAATCCTAATCCATCCACTCTGACTGCACACTTGAGCAAATTTAACTGTGAGCCTTGGTTTCCTTGACTGAGGCTACTCTGGGAAACCATGCATGGCCAGCACTTTGCATTTAATCTGGCGCATAGTACGTGCTCAACAAATACAGCCGTGGGCACCAGGCACTGGGTTGACCTGGGTGACACCCTCGGCCACAGGTGCCAAACTTGACACATCCCTCCTCAGGACTCCTGCTGAAGCTGCCCTTCCTGGACGCTCCTCCTGACTCCCAGTGCTTCGAGGACCAGATTTACTGGGAGGTAAGTCAGCAGCAGCCCCTCACGTTCCTCTTGCTCACCCTCCAGACCTCCCTTCTCTGCCTCACCTTCTTCCTTTGTATCTGCTCATCCTCCTCTGGGTTGCCTTTAACCCCCTGGAGCTATCCCATCACCTGCTCCTCTATCTCACCTTCTAGGTGCCAGGAGAGCATGAGGATGAAGCCCAAGGACCTCTGAGGACCGAGGAACCAGACACTCGGGCGTAACCCACTGCCAATCCCGGGAAGATGCTGTCCTGTTAGAAAGTGTTGAGTTCATGTTTTCTGACTCCCACCCCTCAAGCTGCAGAATGGGGCCTCCTGCCTGTGGGCAGTTTTGGAGGAAGGGAGAGATGGGAACCTGGGACACAGAGGAGGGTCAGGGCTGTTTCTGAGCGTGGAAAAGAGGGTTTCATCAGCTGCCCACAGCCTCCAACTGTGGAAAGGAAGTACCAGGAGTGAAGCACCTCTCAGCTGGAGAAAGTCAGAATCACTAGAGAGTCTGATCCACTGGGTCAGGGTCCCACAGTGAGGTGAAGTCTGAGCCAGGGCCCGGCTCCTGGAAGGGAAATAAACACTGCCATTATCACCAGGGACAGAGTCCTTTTTTGCACACTGGAAATATGGGGAGTTCATTTCTTTTCTAATTCATAATGTTAGGACCTCTGGGTGGGGATGAACTTTAGAGGACACCCTATATCCTAGGATGCATGGGACACCCTCTGAGGTGCTGTGACTTGCTGGGTGGCTTGCTCACCTTCGGGGACAGAGAGCTCACTCTGTTCCAGGAAGCCTGCAACCTACAGCACAATTTAGGCTGCTAGAGAGTTCTTCCTATTCTAAAACTGCTGCTACCCTCACCTCATTTTGTGTGGCGTCCAAGCAGAGTTAAGTGTATGTTGTTGTTGTTGTTATGTGCCGTCGAGTCGCTTGCGACTCATAGCGACCCTATGTACAACAGCCCTAAACTCCGCTCTGTCCTGTGCCAATCGCACTGTCTCTGACACTCCCATCCCAATTATCCCAGTCACTGAATCAATCCACCTCATAGAGGGCCTTCCTCTCCTACACTGTCCCTCCACCCTCCCAAGCATGATGTCCTTCTCC